AATCCCCTCCAGTCACACATTTTCTGGTGCATGCCAGGCCAGGCTTTCTGCAGCTTTGGTGTATAATGTCCCCAGTTCGCTGGTAGCCTCAGTTCTCACGTCTATGTTGAGAGTAAAATCTATTGCCATCCTTTCAGAAGAATATAAGGTAGAATCAGATTGTGAGGAAGGCAAACACTGTCTTCTAAGGCAGTGTGTGAGAGGACTGCAGGTGAGTACCCCCGAACAGTCTGCTACCCGTATCTTCTCTAGTACTGCTTTTGTCCCACTGTCCTGTAAATATCTGATCATTCCCTTAGTGATAGCTAGCTTGAATTGTCAACTTGAAACTACTTAGACTCACCTGGGAAGAGATCACTTGCATTCTGTATAATCCTCAAGTAAGAGAGGGGACTGTATTTTCCATCAGGAAATCAGGAAATCAGGTCATTGATTCAGGCCAAGTACAGTGCTTTGAATGATAATGGCCCACATCAGCCCATATATTGAAACGCTGGGTTTCCAGCTGGCTGAACTGTTTGCGAAGATCAGGATGTATGGCCTTGTTGGAGGAGGTGTACCTCTGGAGGTGGGCTTTGAGGTTTCAAAAGCCCACACTGTTGTAAAATGGCACACGAAAGGCCTTGGTGAGTTTGAGCATTTCAATGCTAACACTCGCCATTTCCAGTTAGCATGCTCTCTCTCTCTCTCTCTCTCTCTCTCTCTCTCTCTCTCTCTCTCTCTCTCTCTGCCTTGTCCTTGTGGGTTGAAATATAAACTCTCAGCTATTACTTCAATGCCATGCCTGTCTACTTACTGTGAAGCTTTCCTGTGTCCCAGTTGGCCAGCAGTCAGGACAAGTCTCTCCCACTGGCATCCCCCAAGGAAACACACAGAGGCTTATATTAATTATAACTGCTCAGCCATTAGCTCAGGCTTATTACTGACTAGCTCTTACACTTAAACTAACCCATGATTCTTATCTATGTTTATCCATGTCGCTTGGTACCTTTTCTCAGTTCTGGCTTCGAATATTGCTTCCTCTGTGTCTGGCTGGCAACTCCTGACTCAGCCTTTCTCTTCCCAGAATTCTTTGTCTGATTATCCCGCCTATACTTCCTGCCTAGCTACTGGCCAATCAGCATTTTATTAAACCAGTGTACAAAAGCATTATCCCACAGCACCCTACCATAAGGGTGATGGACTCACACTCTGAAACCATAATTCCTGAATAAAATCTTTCTTCTCTAAGTTGCCTTGGTCATAGTGTCTTATGATAGCTACAGAAAGGCAAGTAGCACACCATGAAATATTGACAGATATTCATAGTTCTCATTTGCATCATCACAGAAATCTTCATCCAAAGAATAGAGGGTAATGATGTCACCATCCACCAATGGACTGATGCTTGTCACCTTGAGTGCAATGGTTTACATTAGAATACAATGTTAATAATCAGGTAATCCAGAAAGCTGAAGCAGGAGGATTTCTATGAGTTTTAGACCATCTTGGGCCACATGATGGGTTCCAAGCCATCCTGAGCTACAGTATATGTAAAAACGTATCCCTAAATAATAAAGAGGGGGTGAGGTGGGAAGAATCATGTCATCTAGGTTGTTTCAGCTTTCATTCTTCTTCCTGTTTTACCATGTGACCACTCCTGCTTGTATTCTCTTTCTTTTAATGGCACCCACCACATCATCCCCATAACTGGAACCAAGAAGATGCTTGTATCAAGCTGTTAGAATCCAGCATAGGGGGAAAATTGAACTTCCCATCTTTATAAAGTACTCAGTATGTGTATTTTGTTATAGCAACAGAAAATGAACTAATAAACTCTCGACTCTGCTGTATTGCTGGAAGTAGACAGAGTCTATTATTTTCCTATTATTAATGTTACTAAAGAGTATCTACTAAGCTATATAGTTCTTACAGTTCCCATGACCTTGAATTTCTGAAATACTAGCCCACAAAGAAGAAAAAAATCTTAATTTTATGTACTTCATGGTCTAATAAGGGATGTCAACACCTCCAAAGAGGTATGTTCACTGACATCTGACATCAAATGACTTTGTGTCTTTATATCAGCCACTTATCCTGGACTGCGTAGGAGTAAAATATAAACTTCCTTCATGAGATGGCTGCTTCCCAGTCAAGGAAAATTCCCTGAAGAACGTGAGGCTGTGAGCAGCCTGAGTATAATTGCTTGTTTAGAGGATGTGGAAAGGATGCACCTAAGTGCTCTTAAATTTCACAATTTCCCAAAAAGTCTACCTGAAGGAGAATAGATGTTTTTGATATCTAATTCAAGAAAAGTCTCATTTACAAATCAAGTTGTATTAAGTAACCAGGCAGGGGATTCCAACGAACAACCAGCTGGCAATTTGCAGAGCCTAACAGCTGGATGTGATCAGAATTACATTAAAAAAAAAAAACAACACCCTATGTAAAGTCGCCATCACCTCAGGAAGACTGCATGGATGTCAAAGCCTCTATCCTCTGAGGAGTCGTTCTAAAGGGCACATATAGTCAGGGACACATACCACACAAAAATAGTTCATCCAGAACACTAAGCAAACTGACAACAGTAATTGCAATCAAGCTGTTAATACTGGATCCAGTACCTGCAATAAACAATTTAATATCTAAAATGTCTACCTTTCAACCCAAGATAATAGCGCATGTAAAGAAGCAGTAAAGAATGACCCATGCACAAGAGGAAAAGTAGATTACAGAAACTGCATGTGTGAGAGGCAGTATGTCACATTAAAACTCAAACATATTCAAAGAGCTGAAGGAAACAGTGCTTATAAAATTAAAGTATGATGACCCTGTTTCTCTGCACTAAGAAGTGCAGATCAAAATAGAAACCATATCATTTAAAGGTACCATGCATGAAATCGATATTTACTTGAGGATCTCAACAGTATATTTCAAATGACCGAGAAAAAAATGAATAAACTTGAAGATGTACCAAAATGAATTATGAAATCCAAAGAACAAAGACTAAACCCTGAAAAAAAGGAGCAACCTCAGATAATTATGACCCATCCTTAAGTACAGCAACATATACCTAATAAGAGTATGAGAAAAACAGGAGAATATAGAAACAGATAATTATTGGGCATTTCCTAAATTTAGTAAAAATAAGGAAAGAAAGAAAAAGAAAAGAGAAAGAGAAAGAAAAGCATTAATCTACACATCTACAGAAGTCAATACATTTCTCAAAAAATAAATTCAAAGACAGTTACAACAATTTCTGTGGGGAAAAAAAGACAAGAAAACAATATTTTTGTCAACCAAATTCACAGGTGATGATACTCTGTAAGATCAGCAACTGACTTCTAGTTAGAAACAATGACAACCAGAAGGAAGTGGGTAGAGTGCTAAATACCAACAGAAAATAAAATCCAAGGTCCACCTGGGGGACAGAGATAGATGAGGAAAGCAGAACTGGTCTCCCAGACATGGTGACTTCTTGTTCCCAAAAGACATTGCAAGAACTAGAGGAAAAGTACTAGGAACCGGATCTACACATGACCGATGGGGAAATGGGGAGGAGCCCGGGGTCCTGTAATCACCCAATCCAGCATCTGTTTATTGAAGTTCCAGCCCTAGGCCTCTCCCATCCCAACTGGATATAGCTATTACATTTCCTTCCTCTGTGACTTGATCTTCTGTCTTTCCTGGTGCTCAAGTCTTTGTGCCAGGTAATGTGCTTAGTGAACCCTCATATGACCACTAGTACCCAAGTTACACAATAAAAACTAAAACTGAAAATAATGCTCTATTCAGCAAAATTATTTTTCAAAATGTAGGGAAAAGAGAGTCAATCGAAGACAAATGAAAGGACTGGTTGCTGACAGACCAAACACTTCCTATAAGGATGTTAAGAAGTTTTTCAATCTGGAGATGAGGCTCAGTGATCCAGTGCTTGCCTAGCAGTGAGTGCCAGAGTTCCTGTCACACACACACACACACACACACCACACACTTCAGAAATGGTAAGATCTACTGACTACCACTGTATAAATAAACTTCTTCCTCTAACATTATGCAAAATTCCACAACTACTTCCCCCAAACCCAATTTCTTGAATTGCCTCTCGTCTTTTAAATACTTCATAAAGAGAAATCTTTTGGAAGGTATCAGGGACTACTGGACTTTGAAGTCAGAAATCTTAGACTGAGATAAGTTTGAACAGAAATGGCAGTTTCAGTAGCTGTAACATACAACATTCTCTCTCTAAAATTTACTATTTAATTTTTATTTGTTTTTTTTCTATGCCTGACTCAAAGAGTGCCAGCTTATGCAATACTCTGAAGTTTAAGAAAAGAAGTATTTCCTATTCCTGTACTCACATATTTCCTTCTGGACACTACTAAGATTTATCAGAGGAAAAGTTTGCCATGTGCCCCATTACCATTCTATATTGTTTCTGTGCCAATATACAAACAATGCTACATTCGTAATTATGTACCAGTTGAGCCAGGACAATCATAATATGATCTAAAACTAAAAAGAGAAGCCAAAGACATTTAAAATGTAGATGGACATCTTGTCAAGTAATTGCACTAAAATACAGAGAATGACTTAGCAAAGTTAATGAAGAACCAGGGTGCTCATGCTTATCTTTGTACTCTGTTGATGACACCTCTCACACTCCATCTCTCTTCTCCTCTCTCCTCTAGGAAATACATCTTCAGAGCCAGATCCTGAGTAACTGGTCTAATAGGATGCTTAAGAAACACTGTTGCCTTTCCCTAGCCCCTCCAGTGTCTTCAAGAACATTCATCCTTGTGCTCAACAGCACAAAGAGGGCAGACACAAAGTCTGCAAAGTCCTCGGTAGCATAAAAAGAGATTCATCTGACTGGTGTGCCTTTGGAGGGGGTTCGGAAGTAGATCTTCCATGGCATGACTGCAATTTGTGCACAGGATTCAGATTGGACAGCAACTTGAATGGCACAGAGAAGCTGAGATTTTCTAGGTTATGCCACCGAAGAGTGATAAAGAGAAGAGCTAATCCCTGAAGAGCAGACAGCAACGCTTCACTCCGTCTCTAAGGGCCTCTTTGACTTTGTCATTCCGAAGAGTGAAGATGAAGGGGTTCAGGAAAGGGGTTACCACAGAAACCAGCAACGAAGCCACCCTGTTGTACTCAGCTGCCTGTGTTTGCTTGGTTTCACATAGAGGAACAGGCAGCTGCCATAGCCAACGACAACAAAGGTGAAGTGGGAGGCACAGGTGGAGAAGGCTTTCCTGCGGCCAGAGGCTGAGGGGATCTTGAGGATGGTGGAGATGATGTAGGTGTAGGAGACCATTGTGGGGATCAAGGATCCAATAATAATGAAAACAGCCATTAAGAAAAGAATGAACTCCGTGAGAAAGGTGTCATTACAAGACAGTTTGAGCAACTGACCTCGGTCACAGTAAAAATGATCTAAGAGATTTGATTTGCAGAAAGTAAATTGGAATGTGGCATAAACTGGCCAGATTTCCGAAAGGAAGCCAAACACCCAGGACACAATCACCACCCAGATGCAAGTACGACTGTTCATGATGACACTATACCTCAAAGGGTTGCAGACTGCCACATAACGGTCCACAGCCATCGCTCCCAGCACTACAAATTCAGTGGTGCCTAAAGAGAGATAAAGGAAGAGCTGGACAACACATCCAGTCAGAGATATTGTCTGGATTCCAGGGAGCAGCAGTCCCCACAGCATCATGGGAACAATTGTAGTTGTTACCAGCATCTCCAGGAGAGAAAGGTTGGCGAGGAAGAAATACATGGGGGACTGTAGACGTTTATCAACACAAACAATCAGGATGATGATCATGTTTCCCAGCAGTGTCACTGAATAGAAGAAAAAGAATATGGCAAAAAGAATGTGGTGTAGCTCTTGGGATCCAGGGAAGCCTAGCAGGCAGAATTCAGTGGCACTAGAGAGATTGTCCATCACTAGATTTTGACTTTTGTTCCCAAGTTTGAGATCTGTATCAAACAGACTGGTCATGGGATTATCCTTCTTCCTCTTGGATTAACTGTACCAGAAGACAATGGCATTCCAGAGAAAGGTTAAAGCATAGAACTTTGAGTACCAGTTCTCCACAACACCACACAGAGCAATCAGGGGCCAACAGAACAAAGGTCAGTGTCTAGGGCCAGTGTACTTGCCATCCTCAGATGTTAAAACATTACAGAACATCAATATCTCCATATGAAAACTCGGGGATGGTGATGAGTTCTCAAAGTAGAATCACTCTTTTCTAACTGCGTTTTCTCTCAAAAGCCCTGGAAATATTGAAAGACAAGAGCCAGTACAGATAAGATGCCAAAACATTGGAAGCTCTGATACCTGGTTCACTGTTTGTTAGTTCTTTTATCTTCTCAACTATCACCTCAGAAACTTCTTTCCAATCACCCTTCCTCATACAAGGAAGCATGCTCATTAGTGAACTCCACTTTTCTTCATAGTATTTATTATCTGATGTTATGTGTCTAATTGTTTATTGCTCTCCTCTAGTATTAAACAAGATAACCATGAAGAGGACAAATGGCAAATTCCTGCCCTGTGGAATTTATATTCAAGTAGAATATATGTGTGAAACCACACATGAGGAGTAAATAGAGTACACAATAATTAGTTCACTAGTAGTATCATGTGGAAAATATGACTAGGAAATTTAATTTTATTTGTTTTTCATTTATAACTTGAGAATATAAGTTCTATGGAAACAACATCTTCAAACTAGGATTGGAATATACAATATATATATAAATATATAATATAAATATATTATAAGCAATATAATATCTTTTGCATCATATATATTATACACATTATATATTATATTATATTATATTATATTATATTATATTATATTATATTATATTATATTTATTATATTATATTATATTATATTATATTTATTATATATTATATCATGTATTTTTTACCCACATAAGTAATGTGGAAATTTTTCAGCTGATGACTGTGTGAGTGGATGATATAGGTTAAGTGCTACTTGTCTGGGCCAAGACTAGTTCAGCCATAACCCTTCAGTCCTCCACACCTTAGCTTCCCCTCCCATCTCACCTCAGCACTGTCCTTCCTCCCTGGCCTTCCTTTAAATGCCCTCTCTACTTCTCTGTGTCTGTTGTCTAATGGACGCTCTCAGACTTCAAGGCTAGAATGGTTGGAAGGGATCAATGTCTGCTTTTCTTTCACAGCCTTTGGATTACCAGCAGAAAATGAAGAAAGCAGACATAGCAAGGAGAAGTTCTCCAATCAGTACTAGAGCAGCACAGGGCTGAAAGAGCATGCTGTGTGGAGGACTCGGCCTGAGCCGGTCCCCTCTGCTGCTGCCCTCCCCCACGAGACAGCTCCATTTTCTTCAGCTTCTCCGAGAAATCCAAGTCCCAGATTGTCCACCCGATCCCTCTAGTTTCTCCTTCACAGAGGCAGAACTTTAAGAAATCACTGACCTCTTCAGAGGGACTTCATGTTGCTTCTGTTGTTCTATAGATTAACAGAAAGAAAGTCCTGCCTGGCTAGTGCTGAGCTGTAGAAGCTGCTGGAACCTCCACTCGTGGTGAGGAGGGTGATGGAATCTATCCAGGAGCTTAGGAGGAAGTCTAGCAATAAAAGTACTGTACAGACTTGAGAATTTGTCCTTCTCCTCTCTTCCCTTCCCCCTTTCTCTCTTTCCCAAGGGAACTTTGTCCCTGAGATTTATCTTTTTAATTAACCCAAGCTCAGAGAGTTCCCTCAGCAATCCATCTGGGGAGATCAGAAAAAAGTTTTAGTTATCTTCGTTTTTGACCAATTAAGTTGCAGAACTTTTCTAAGTCTTTTAGTGAAGAAACCTGAAATCTTGTTGATCGGGGACTACTTAATCTAAGGTTGCCTTCCCCCACCACCCTGTTGTCTGGAATGTGTCTCAGCCTCTAAGTAGTTCTCTTCTCAGTTCATTATCTCAGGCTCTTTCCACTATTCCAATCTAATCAGAGCCCAGATTACCTTCATCCTCACAGAGATACTGTAATTTTCCTGCAAAAATAAACATTAATATTTCCCAATGCCTCTACCTCAAGCTTAGTGAAAGCCTTAACTTGACCTCAAATCCTTCATGAAGCCTGATTTGTCCCCCATCTACATTGGGAGCCCTGCAGCCTAGTCTCAGATCAACATATGACTACCTGTCCAACAGGTTTCCTCCAGGCAAGACACCCATGGAAATGGTCTCTCACTTGGCAAGGACTGGTAGTCCATGGGACAGTGTGGGAATCCGCAAAATTCATGCAACTTGCAGGCTCTTTTCTCTCTCACTATATTGGTGATACTTTGGGAAGTTTTTAATTTTACTTTGTCAATCACACATGCAAGGGCTGCAATTTTCCCTGGAAATTCTGTTCTTTCTCAAATTATTTTCCCCTAAGATGCAGCAGAAGGCTAATGTTTCTCAAGTCTCTTATCAGGAATTACTAACTGAAACTCCTAATCCTGGGAACTTTTCTGACTCAATAGAGACAGTTAGATACATATGAGAAAACAACATTTGGAACATTAACCATGTCTCACAGTTCTGGAAAGGAGAGCAGGATATGTATACACAGAATGGAGGAAAACCTCAGGAATACGCATAATGCCAGCTGTTGAGAGTAAGTTCCCTTTGCTTTAGACACCAAGCATATAGAATCAATGATAGGATCTAGTATGGCCCATTGGAAAAAAATGCAACGTAAAATATGGGATGGAAAGATCCATCTTTTACCATACACAGGAGCTTATATTGGTGGAAGAAGTATGATATAGTGAGATGGAAAAAGAGTGCCTTATCCAAGGCTGCCTTTCATAGAGAGATTGAAACATGAAACCCTCTTGTAGAAAAGGGAGCCATGTAAAAGCATATCTTGCAGACATGAAAGAATTGTTTGGGTTTGAATATTGTTGTCCTTAAACCATTGTGCCCATGTGTATTAATTTTTAACTCTGTAACCCCAAGTAGCCGCCAGCTGACATAAGTGCTGTGAGAGCAGGATGTGTCTGGTTCCATATTTAGTTAAGCTGCAAAAAGGCTGAACTCTGTGTCTAGAATAAGGTTATGTGGGGGGTGGGGAAGTGTATTGGGGGAAGCACAAAAGGGAACAGCGGGGACTTTTTAATGATTACAATGTATTCCTTAAAATAAGACATATTTCTTAAAGTCAAAAATAGAAGCCAACAATAAAGCTGTTCATGTAACCTTGGTAAGGAACAGTCTGCTGAAGTACAAATAAAGATGGCTGGAGCTATTTGGGGCCACTTGGGTGCAATCCACCTGGTAGTCAGATTTCTTCCTTGTGCCAACACCACTTCCCTACCTCAGAATGTGAACCCAAGCCAAGGCTGAACCCCGGCAGGGTGATGCCCAAACAGGGACCTGAAGGTGGTATGTATTGGGACTGAAGGGGAGAGGATCCTGTCTAAGGGTGCTACAGACCCACCAGAAGAGCCCCTGGTTTGGGGGAAGGACAGGTAATCAAAGAACGTTTGAGAATTCAGTGCCCTGTTCCAACAGAAATGGAAGAGTATGGTTCAAAGGAAGCTACTCTTTATATCTCTATATTAATAGAGATAGTTAGGTATATATGAGAAAACAACACTTGGAACATTAACCATGTCTCACAGTTCTGGGAAGCAGAGTAAGGCATGCATACAAAGAACAGGGGGAAAGCCTCAGGAATACACATAGTGCCATGTTGAGAGTAAGTTCCCTTTGATTTGGACACCAAGCATATAGAATCAATGATAGGATCTAGTATGGTCCAAGGGGTAAAATGGAATGTAAAATATGGTATGGAAAGATCCATCTTTTACATTACACAGAAGCTTATATTTGTGGAAAAAGTAAGCATATTGTTAAAGCAAAAGGTTTAAAAGTTTCTACTAGTCAAGTCATAGAGTTTTTACAGTTTATTCAGGAAGTTTGTGCTTGGTTTCCTATGGTGCAAACACCCTTGTTATCTCATTCAGGATCTGAGAAGGAAGCAACAAGGTATCATAATTCTGATTGGTACCCCCTGCAATGGCTGATTGTGAATCATTCCACATGACCCCCTGAGAAATGGAAAAAGGGGCTGCTGGGATTTCCTGTCGCTGTGCATCAAGCCCACTAGCAGAGTGATTCAGTGGGGAAAGAACAGAAAGGGTTAACTTACAAAACGCTTATGGGTGTCAGAAAATGGCTTATAGTGGCCACTTGGCTGAAATTACTGGAAGGAAGCCTTTTGACAGCATCTAAGGTGCTGTGGCAGGTCCCTGACACTAAATTGGAAATTCTAGTAGGCGATCCTCTACCCTTACTTTAATTGCAACACTTGGGACAGTGTTACTAACTCACCTCGCCAACTGCTTCCTCCACTTGCTTCCTGCTGTAAGCACATGTCCCTCCTTTCCTATTAGGTGGGTGTCACTATGGAGCTCTCTGCTTTGTTTACTTTCGCTATGAAAGCCATGCCAGCGTGTCAGGAAGCTTCCTTTTGCCTTACTGGGCCCCCATCACTTGGAAAGGGATGCCTTTCCTCTGGGACTGGGGACATTTCTCTCTGACCGGTCTTCTTTCAGTCTGTTTGGAGATGTCCTGGCTGGAAATTCTTGTTACCGAGACATTTACATCCTCTGCTTCCTCATAACCATTCTTAGCTCTTTCCTGACACTTGTCTGCACTCGCTAATTCTCATTTAAGCCCCAAAGCCTTTCCTTGGTCATTTCTTCTTGCCTTCTCCAGAGACAGCCTTAGTAGTTCCCCTTCTCAACCATGTGGTGGCCGATTTGGTTTCCTTGCGGAGCCCATTTCCATTCCTGGTGCACTATAAAGGGATCGGTAAGGTCGCCAGTCCCCCTATGAACTGTATCTATGATTACAGGTTTTATTTTGACACTAGAAAAGCTTCAGTTCAAAGTCATTATTTTTAATGGCTAAACTTAACAGCGATGGAACATAAAGTCCTAGTCTTATAAAAAGCTATTAACTTAGTGTAAACTGTTAAAGATAATTAAAAATACAAGTTAATGGTTAGTCACTTTCTAAATGATCAAATTCTTTAATATGTTCAAAATTATGCTTATAGTCTTGCTAAATGCTATTGTAATTAATTATTATGAAAATAAGCTTTACTTAGCCCTCTGTATAAATTTTTAAAGTTAAGCCTAAAGTAAATAATTAAAAACAAAGTTTTTATTCAGATTTATGCCTCAGAGATCTGCAAAATATGACATTTAAAATGTTTAAGCTTATAATAATAGACAAAACTGTCCCTTCTTAGTAGAAACCCTTAAGGTATCCAAAATCAAAATAAAAAATTAATTGGGCAGGATAGTCCCACTTGGATTATGGAAACTCTAACCCCTGGGTGAAACTGCCCCAGGCCTCACTTGTTGCCAGAGCTTTGCTCAAACTGTGGACACTTTTGGGTTGACCACACCCTGTTTTACCTGGTCAAAGTGAGGTCAATCTCTTAAGTTGCTCCTTTATAGAAAAAACATCTCAGACCTGCTTCTGGTAACCAAAGGCCTATGCTGCTCTGTATGACAGTCAATGACCTGCATACAACCCCTGCCCACAATGAAACCATGGAGACCACCAGAGCCTGAAGTAACCTGTCTAGGTAATGGGCCACGGTCATTTTAGTTGACACATAGACCATTTAGATTATATTTCCAGCTATCATTTGTTCTCTTCAGATCACTGAGGACTTTGACTGAGTGAGGCTTTAAGAGAAACAAGCACCCAGTTCCTTTCCTAGGCTTCAGCTGCCTTCTCAGTTCTCTTTTTATGTAAATTCAAGCCATAGGCCAGCCGCACTTCCCTAAAGCTACTACTAGGTCTGAGAACAATTTGCTTTGCTACCAGATTCCAAAAAGAGATAAATTCACCAAAGAGTTTTCAAAGTGACTTTTTTAAAACTACTCCTTTATTTCAAGTAATTTGCTTTACAATAACTGCTTCAGTAATCAACCACCTGTGTCTCATAGTAAACAACAGGATAAAAAAAAGTGTAAAGCTTATGTAAGTTCTAACAATATAAAAACATAAACTGTAAGGACCTAAAAAGCTGTTCTAAGGTCTAAAAAATATAACGTGAGGTATTAAATACAGGTTATAGAGGTCTGAGGACATGAAGGCTCGGGTGATGAGGGTCTAAAAAGGTTCTAAAAATCCAGGTCTGTGGATTGAATTTATAAGGGTGTAAAAAGATGGGTTAAAGTCTATAAAAATGTTTCATATTTCTTTCCCCCACTATGCTATTGTCATATTAAAACTTCAAAAGTTCAGAGTTCTAACATTAATCAATACAGTTCTGATAAGCTATTAATCTAACTCTGATAAACACTGACTATTATTATCATAGCCACAAGATCAATATTTTAAATTTCCCTTTGGTTGTTTTCTATAGATACAGTTAAAAATGCTTCTCATTGTACTAAAAACATTTGTCTAAGCTATATACACCCAGTCTTCTAGATAAAAATAATTTTTAATGCTCTTAACCAAAATTACTTTTAGGTTCACAAATTTTTACTATGACTCAAATGCATGAGTCTACTGCCTTTTGTACAGTGTGAATTCCAGTACAGACTACTATGATAATGCTAATACGCTAACATATCTGGAACTTTTGCCTGTAAACAAACAAACAAATAAATAAAACTTGGCTTCAGACAGGTTTTGCCAGTCAACAACCTGTTTCACCACCTGCCTATTCCTAGGGGGGTGGGACCTCTTCCCCTTTCCCTGATTTTTGAGACACCCCTCTCCCAGCTGCCAGGACTGTGGACCTGGAGGTCTCAAATGTACACTTAAGAAAAGCTTCCCCCAAAAGTCCTTCACTTTATTTCCTGTCCTTAATGTATATCTGTTTTAGCAGACTTCCAATCAAAGACTGTAGACTGCTCCAACTACTGACTGCACCTCCCTAGCCCCAGATGGTCTTACAGTACCTGGTCAGTGAATAAAACAGCCTGCTTTTCTTGGATTTGGTCAATGTTCCAGCATTTTGGTGTCCCCAACGACACCCCGATGTCAACAGGAAGTGGTCATAGATGATTGCATCACCCCTTGCCACTCATTCAACAGAAAGGCTGGGATGTTAAGTTCCAAATCCAGGACATACAACTGAGGATCTTGTGATTGATCAAGGTGGTAAAGCCACTCCTCCCTCTCTATTTTGGGCTGATTTCTCTGCTCTCCATACAGGTACTGCTATCTTTATTATCAATATGTGCTGCTCAGGAATAACTCACATCACAGAGTCACCTCTGTTTCACCCTGCAGCTTGGGGTTTTGAGGAAGTGAGAATGGTGGTTAATGATTCTTAACTGATATGGGGAGATAGAGATGCTTTTGTTCATCATAAGATTTTTGGTCTCCTAAACCATACAGGACATGAAGATCCTTGCCTATCTGCTTCTCAGATGATATCACTCCTGAGCCTGGATGTGTTTCCTGTAGCTGGAACATCCCACAGCAGTTTCCCTCTCATATAGGACATTGGTGGCTGACTCCTCTAGAGGAAATAAGGATGATAAAGGGGAACTTTGGCTTTTCTCTTTTGTCTAAGGAGCTGATGAAACCCTCCCCACTTAAACGGCTACTACTAAAAAGAGACCAACCCAAGAGGTTCCTGATTGCTTGCCTCAGGGCAAACACAACCATCCGTGGGAGTCTGTTGGTCTTGTTATAGGGTACACAAGTTGGTTTCCTTATGTTTTTTTTTTTTTTTTCTGAAAAGGGTGTTGTTTATTCCCCTAAGGACATTCAAGATAAAAATTATGACTGGTCTTTTCTAGTCCCGCTCATGATGATATATAATTTCTGGCTGCCAATAGACACAGATTTCCTCAGTGGAACAAACAATTTTTAGTAGCAGGACAACTTATTACTCATTGGTTATCACCTGGATGGGTTGTCCCCATGGTTTTGGCCAAACTTTCACCTCATCCTATTCTTCAAAGACATTTATACCAATTATTTGCGGTCACCAATTATACTTATGTTAAAAAGCCTCTGCAATCCTCCACAATCACAAATGACCTTCAGGCCTGTGTTGCTGCCCCTTCTGCTATACTAAGAGGTAGAGATTTGGGGTTAACAATTTTACATATTATAAAATCAAACTCTACTTACAACATTTCCTGTATTAATTATGTTATTATTAATTATATTGATCATACTTTTACTCCAGGTAATTTCCTGATTGTTAGACAACCTCCTTTTGTTTTGCTGCCTGTAAACTTATCTTTACCTTGGTTTGATGATCCTGTGCTTATGCCATGGAGACTGTTTCCCAAGCTCTTTCCTGTCCAAAGCGATTTGTTGGGGCTTTGATTTGGGGTATTACTACCCTGATATCTACTGTAGCTTCTATGGCAACATCTACCACTGCTCTGGTACAGAAAGTACATACAGGGGATCATGTTAATAACTTATCCAAAAATATTTCTCTGATACTTGCTATACCTGAAAGTACAGATAAAGGGTTAGTGGATGGGTTAATGTTTTAGAAGAGGCTATATTATACATGGACACTCAAATTCAAAATACAAAGGTCAGACTCATGGCCTCTTGTCATGCAGCATATAAATGGATCTGTGCTACTCCTTTGCCATATAATGACACTGATTTTTCTTGGAAGCAGATTCAAGCACATATTAAGGAAATTTGGAATAGTTCTGATTTGGATATTAATATTCTTGATTTATATAATCAGATTTCTACTATCTTGAATGCTCACTTACAAATGTCTTCTCCAGAAGGGATTGCTGCTTCCTTCCTTCCTTCTTTCTATTCAGTCTTATGTTTCTGCTAGGGATTTTAGGTCTTTTATTGTTAATCTGGACACTAGAGTAGGATTATTTTTTATCCTTGTTATTCTTTTTCCATTCATCATCAAATGTTTGTGTTCTGCCTTGAGTGCTATGACCCATACCATCTGCCTCATTATTCTAAGAAATATAAAAGAGGGAAATGTTGGGAGCCCTGAAGCCTAGTCTCAGATCAATATATGACTACCTGTCCAATGGCAAAGCACCCGTGGAAATGAACTTTCACTTGGCAAGGACCAATAGTCCATGGAACAGCCAGCATAGGAATTTGCAAAATTTATGCAACTTGCAGGCTCTTTTCTCTCTCATTTTATTGTTGATCTTTTGGGCAGTTTTTAGTTTTACTTGGTCAATCACACATGGAACAGCTATAATTCTCCCTGGAAATTCTGTTCTTTCTCAAATATTTCCCCCTAAGATTCAGCAGAGGGCTAATGTTTCTCAAGTCTCTTATCTGGAATTAACTAACTGAAACTCCTAATCCTGGGAACTTTTCTGACTCAATAGAGACAGTTAGATACATATGAGAAAACAACATTTGGAACATTAACCATGTCTCAGTTCTGGAAAGGAGAGTAAGCCATGCATACACAGAATGGGGAGAAGCCTCAGGAGTACACAATAATGCCAGCTGTTGAGAGTAAGTTCCCTTTGCTTTAGACACCAAGCATATAGAATCAATGATAGGATCTAGTATGGCCCATTGGAAAAAATGCAACGTAAAATATGGTATGGAAAGATCCATCTTTTACCATACACAGGAGCTTATATTGGTGGAAGAAGTATGATATAGTGAGATGGGAAAAGAGTGCCTTATCCAAGGCTGCCTTTCACAGAGAGATTGAGACATGGGACCCTCTTGTCGAAAAGCGAGCCATGTAAAAGCATATCTTGCAGACATGAAAGAATTGTTTGGGTTTGAATATTGTTGTCCTTAAACCATTGTAGCCATGCCTATTAAGTTTTAACTTTGTAACCCCAAGTAGCCGCCAGCTGACATAAGTGCTGTGAGAGCAGGATGCGTCTGGTTCCATATTCAGTTAAGCCTGCAAAAATGCTGAACTCTGTGTCTAGAGTTAGGTAATGCAGAGTGTGGGAAAGTGTATTGGGGGAAGCACAAAGGGGGACAATGGTAGCTTTCATAATGGTTATGATGTATTCATTAAAATGTGATGTAAATATGTATTTCTTAAAGTCAAAAATAGAAGCCGGTAATAAAGCTGTTCATGTAACCCTGGTAAGGAAAACCCTGTTTAAGTATAAAGACAGCTTGGGCTATTTGGGGCCACTTGGGTGCAATCCACCTGGTGGTCAGATTTCTCCCTTGTGCCGACACCCCTTTCCTGCACCTGAGCCAAGGCTGGACCCTAGCACATCTACTTTCCAGTGGGTCTCGCAGCTAGTACTGTGACCCTCAGGATACTGTAGAGAAGTTCTACCAGCAAGTCTACTTCCACTCTGTAGAATGTCTTGGGTTTTCCCTCTTCTAAATATAAGTGCATCAGCATGTGCTCCGGCGAGGCTCTTACCATCACTTTTTTTACGGTGTGTTGCTGAATCCCCAGCTGGACCACTTCCAAGTGGGGAGAGCAGAAGGAAGCCTCTGCAGACAGCTATGCTCACAACCTGGAAGAACTGACAAAATGCAAATCAGAAATCTGTTTGGTGCTGGAGAAAGCAGAAAATGTGTGCATTATAAAACATTTGTCTGAGTTTAGGTTCTCATTTCAAGTATGCCTATTCACTCTGAAATGTCAATTGGCACCTAAGGGGATAAATTGGGAATAATTTTCCTTCCTGATTTTTTAAATTGCTAAAGCCCAACCAGCTTGACACGTAATTTTAGAGAAAATTTCTAACTATGGATCTCCATATTCCTTTAAAGAGAGTGCTGTGGAAATCTGTTGTACAACCTCTCCCCTCTCACTTAACGACATATAAAAGACATAGTTCCATAAAAATGTATTATTGCACCCTCTTCTCTTACATAATATTCAATTGTATTGATATTTTATTCATCTTTGGCAAACATTTAGTTTATCGGTTTCTGTGATTTTTCATGGTTTTTTTTGTTAAGATACCATAAGTACTATTATATATTTATAAATACACACACAATTATTTTTCAGAAATAGATTTCTACAGTTGAAATTTCTAGGTCAAAATGTAGAAGAATTAAAACTATCGCTTTCATCTGGCACAAAATTACATTCCCACAAGTTGGCTTCATTCCCTTGTATACCTTACCCACTGTAATTGGAGGTATAATTAAATTTTTATTTTAATTATGAACTTCAGAGAACAACTTAAAATACGTTAGCAAAGAAATCATTTGGTGAACCTGATAAAATGAAAAAATCTTTTGAACAATAAGAAGTACCCAAATTAATTCAAAAGCAAATGGAACTGAATATCCCTATGTATGTTAAACAAATGAAATTCATAGCTAAAACCTTCCTACACAGAGAACTGCAGATCCAGATGGCTTGCCTTATATATCCTATCAAATATTTAAGTTAAAAAAAATCATGGGAACCTACACTTCTTGTCTTCTAGTAAGTTGAGAAGGGAACACTTTCAAATTAACTTCATTAGGTCAAAATGATCTCCACACCAACATCATTACCGGAAAATACATCTCTTTAGCAATATTGTAATGAGCACAGGAGAACACAAGTTCTAAATCCAGCAGAAAGCAAGGGGAATCCATAATTAAAGTGTTATGACTTATCCTAGAAATGCAAAGCCGACAACCCTAAGAGATAAATCAGGTAATTCAGCATGTTAACAGGATCAAAAGGGAAAACTATTGACCATTTCTAGAGAATCATGAAGGACATTGGAAATAAATAAACATCCATTGATTCAGAGCTCTGAGCAAACTAGAAACAGAACATGTCTTCCTTAAACTGATAAATAAAATCTCTATAAAAAAACTAACACTAAATACCATCAAATTTATAATGAAAGACTTACTAATGTCCTTATTTGGGAATTGAGGGAAAGATATCTATTCTGAACACCTCTATTGAACAACATATTAGAAACTGTAGCCAATTCAATAAGACAAGAACATTAAATGAAAACCTTCAGTGGGGAAATATAATATTGTATATGTATAAATGTGTAGTCAGATTTCCTGTGTTCCTGGCCTGCCAGTGGTCAGGACAAATCTCTCCCACTCACGTCCCCCAAGTAAACACACAAAGGCTTACATTAATTATAACTGCATGGCCATGACTCAAGCCTTTTGTTAGCTAGCTCTTAAATCTTAAATTAGCCCATAACTATTAATCTATGTATCACCACATGTTCCATGGCTTTACCTGCGTCCTATTACATGTTGCTCCTTGGGCGGCACACTGGTGTCTCTCCCTGCCTTCTTTGAATTTCCCTGTCTCTTTCTTTGAATTTCCCACCTGCCTCTAAGCTGCCTTACCATAGGCCAAACAGCTTTATTTATTAACCAATCAGAGCAACACATATTCATAGCATACAGAAACATACAGAAAGACATTCCCCCATCATAAATGGGATAGTCTTACATTTTGAGATCCATAAATTCACTAAATAATATCATCAAAGGCACAGAATAAAAGATAGATGTGTAAAAATCTATAATTCCTCAGTACCTTATCATTTCATTATAAATGAAAAAACTTTAAATATGAGAACATGAAGAAAACTGAGGAATATAGTTAAGTAGCTATATTTAAAAGATATATCTAAAATTATGAAATCCTGCTGAGACAAATAAGACCTAAAGAGATGGTGAAATATTCTATTTTCATGCATTAGAAGACTCAATTATTCTAGAATATCTATTCTTTTCAAATTATATTTGAAATTTATTCAAAAACCTTAAAAGGCTTTTCTCTGACATAATCTAGTACAACTCCTACTCTATCCAATGTCATCTACAATCCCTGACATGGTGCCACTTCCTTCAAGGGCTTTAGCCCATACTGTTCTAAGATTTACACAGTAATACCAGGTATCAAGTAACCATCACTTTTGCAAATGCTCCCTATAATTACTGCAAACACGCCTAAGGGCCATGACACATGCTTTTCAGATGTTCTTAGAATGGATGCTACAGTGCCTTGCTATGACACTACACAGGACTAAGATATTCTTTCTTCCAGCCCACAACTGAAAATCTCTTAATAATTACCATGCAAAAGAGAAACACTTCCCCAAGAATATGTGCCTTCATCTAAGACTGCCTGTACCCAAAGCCCCATTGATTCAGACAAAGAAATGGCCAGATCCTAACAGTCAGCCCAAGTGACAATTCTGGACAGCTGTGAAAAGTCATTCTAGCTCCGAACTTCCCATGGAATTAAAACCTTTGAGACAACCTCATTACATTGTCTGCAAATCTCCCTTACTTCCAAATCTTAGATAGCCATGTAATTTTCTTCTCAACATGGTTCACTATTCATCACTGCGTATGTGCACACACTTGTATGTGTATGCACCTGTGTATACCTTTTCTTTTCTTTTTTGTTACTTCTCTTTTTCTTCTTCATAAAGTACCTCACTGTGTTGACCTCTTTAGCGCCAAACAAAAATGTATGATCCTTCTGCCTCAACCTACCAAATAATAAATGTTAGATAATATCAGTCTTCATTAAATATACCTCATTAAAGAAGATATTATATTTGCTCTTTTCCCTGATACAACCTTAGCACAGTGAGAAAAAAAAAACTTCTATTCAAAAACTATTCCTTCATACATGCCCCTTGGAAGTCTGGGCCAAAATGCATAGTATGGTCTAATACATCTTGAGCTACAGAGTAAGTAAGGCCAAACCAAAACAAAATGTTCTTGTTAAATTTTCTTTAATATCAATTTTGAGTAGGATTTATTTCCTATGTTTAAAAATAGTTATATTTCTCCTTAATGAATGGGTTGGCTTGCAAGAGAACTTCAAAGAGACCTTTATTTATGATGCTTTTATTTTTCTGTTATTATGCATATGCATAAATATTTCAGCATTATGAGGTTACATTTAACAGTCTTTAAGGCTCCTGGGAGCTGTGTTTTCTTTAGAAAAAGCCTACATTCATACTGCAAAGTAATTCTTTAAAAAATCTCATTTGCTACTTTTTACATTCAAATCTGTTTAAACCATCTGGAATTTATTTTTTGTAAGCATGAGCCATAGATCCTGGGTGGTTTTTATCACATGTTCTGTCAGTGCTGTATGTATTTCTAGGATAAGGTAATGGAGGAAGGAACACAGGGACAGAGAGAAAGAAGGAAGAGAGAGTGAGAGAGCAAGAGAGAGCCCTTGTTTAGAAAGATGCTATGATGAAAAACAACAACAACAACAATAAAACAAGCTCCTAGACCTAGATCTGACCAAGAAGAGTAGGAGTCCTATTTGGCTAGGAGAAACAGAGATTATAAATTAATAAAGACCATAATGAAATTAATGAAGAACAAAGAATGTCAGCAATGGAAAAAGTTGTCTTTCAATACACTGTTTCTCACATGGTGAGTCTGACAGTCAAGAAAAACTTGGTAGCTTGTTAGGTCATATGGGGATTTACTAGTTGAGTTATAATGTGAAAGGAGACAATCCTCATTCCTAAGTCAACCTTCTATAGGTTGGACAGACATGCTGTCAGCAGGGACTCATGCCCCACACTGTGAGAGCATCAGATGAACTAGCTTCCAAAGGCTCTACCACCTAGAAAAATTCTCAGAAAGAGAATTCTCTATACATTGGTCTGATAACGTAAACCAGGTATTTTAACCCAATCCTGGATCCTGCAAAGCAAATGTCTCTACTGGTATAATAGAGGCCTGGCTGCTTCAGGGGTAACCATCCAATTTCTAGATGGATGTGAGGCTTGCTCCATAGGACAGAATTTGTGCTTGGTACTGTAAGCCTGGTCAAAAGTCCATGATTGGGGAATTCATACACCTCAAGGAGGAGCATACTATTGTTGTTTTGCTAAATGGTCATGTTGTCAACCTGCCTTCTTAGTATTATTTTTATGCCTATATACCTGTTCTGCTGTCAGCATTGGTGACAGAAGCTTTTTGTGGTGACTAGTGGTTAATGCTGAGATTCATAACTGGTCAAAGTGCTGAGAATAAGAGAACTCAGCCTTAAGTGGGACATCTACATCAACTCCTTGCCATCAAGGCCCAGGGAGTATTATGGAAGAAGGGGCAGAAAGAACATAAGAGCTCTAAGCTGATAAAGAATGTTATAAAATGTCCTCTGGACAGGGCATGGCCACTGTATTTATGAGCTCACAGCAGCCCATGATCGCCTGTACAAGACCGATATAAGATTCGGTTATAATTCCTGCAGAGTTAAGGATGGATTCGTGAGGCACTAGCCATAGCTAAGGACCTATTGGCAGATGATGGCTGCTGAGATAGGGAAGACTCATTTTTCTTTCAGACTGTGGTCACTGGTAGGTTAGTTATGCTCTTGGGGATGGCTCCACACCCATGCACATGCATGCAGTACTAATTGGGATCAGTAGGCTGTAAAAATAATTCTTAAAATATAGGACATTGGAAGGGGCATGAATGAGGGCAGTTGGAGGGGAGGAGTAGGAGTTGATATGATCAAAATACATTGTATAGATGCATAAAAATTTCAAAAAAA